CAACTATTCTCAACAACAAACACCTGGATAAAGAGCCAAATATGAATTTGTTCCTTATATGTGACCATAAACTTTTAACAATTGGTTAATAATCCTCTTTTGGACGATGAATTGTTTGTCGTTGTTTTCATATTTTGTTTATTTAACTCCATGGATTGGCATTTCAGACAATAGTTGCATAGATAGAAACAGTGTTGTTGTTTCTGTGGATGGATGAAGATTTTTGCAATGTCTTGGTTTCATCGAGTCTGATCCGAGTGCAGTTTGTTCATTTTACATTATTGTGTTTCATATTATATTTTTTCAGAATAATGCAACAATGCACAACAAATAAATTCATTTTTACCTTGCCTTTGTCTTTAAGTTGGAACTAGAAAAATGGCTTAAAAAAAACTCAACCGAAGTAAGTTTAGGTTTACAGGAAAATGGACACATTTTAAGGTGTGGCTATTTTTATTTTTAATAGCGTTTTTACTATTAATAGGGTTTCCATTACAGTTCTTATAGGTCGCAGTGGAGGAAAGGAATTTTAAAATCTTTGTTCAATCCATTCAATAATTTCCGGCCTAAAACTACAGTTTTTAACTGATATCCTTCTGTACAACATTAACGCAGCATAAACAAGGATTGAATTGTACCTGGAACGGTATTCTTAATAGAGGAGATGTTCCTCTAGAAAGTAAATTTAAAGTTTTTAATTCCGTATCTAGGGCTGTGATGTGTTATGCGTCACAAGTATTGGGCTACCATCAGTGGTAGAAAAACTTTTTTTTATTAAGAAGTTGTTTGGCGCTCCCTATTGTACACCAAGTTATTTTATTTATTTGGAATTAGGCTTTAGATCTTCGTTTGTGTATACGTTGAGGAGTCATTTAAATTATATGCAGCGGGTTTTGGGTCTGAAACAAGAACGTTTGCGCTACCTTCTTGCGCAGGAGATAATTTAAAAAAAAAACATTTTTTGGTTTAAAGAATTGGAAGTGTTGTCTTCAGTATTGAACGGAAGTTCTCGTATAAATTTTAAAGATGCGAAAGATTTCAAAATTTGGGTAGTACAATTATTCCAGGCAGTAGAAACTCACCATAAAGAAAAATTACAATTAATTAAGGTCTTTAGTTGAGATAAAAAATTTCGTGGTCCGCTTGAGAGGTAGAGCAGCGGCGTATCTAGCCGAAGATCGTGGGTTCGAAACCCGCTCGTGCCATTGACTTTTTTATCTCAACTAAAAACCTTAATTAATTGTAATATATTAATTGGTCAAGCGGACCACGAAATTAGTGAATATAAAGAAGAATGTTTAAGAAAAGTGCAATGTTCTACTTACAATTTTATATACAAGGAATTTGATTTCCATCTTGGAGACAACAATTACTTGTACAAGGAAGACAACTGGAATTTGATCAAGGTTGTTTATCGCGCGAGAGGTCAATTAATATATTTAAATTTTGGAGGGAAAAGACCATGTCATAACTGTAAACTAAAAACGGTAGAAGATTTGTTTCATTTTTTGGCAGTTTGTCCAACTTTGGAAAACGTTAGATTAATTTGGTTCCACAGATGTCGTTTGACATTCCGTGAGTACATAAACCTTTTAAATGGGAAAGATTACTTTAGTTTGTATAGATATATTATAGACGCACTCAATTGCAGAGATAATTTTATGTTAAGTTTATAATTTGTATGTTAATTTAAGTGTAAATATGTAAGGGTCAACTGGCGGACGACTAGTTCATGCCATTACAAGTATTATTTTGTAATTTTGTAAAAAAAAAATATATTTTGTAATCATTTCTAAATATACTTTAAAGAAAACATTAATGCAGCAATTAAGTACGACATTCGCTAAAAGAAGAGAAGATGATATGCGTTGATGTCCACCACCTTGTGGCACTGTTGAAAGTGACATCGTCTTTACTCTAATTGATGTGACGATTTTTGATAAAGTGGGCAATAATTTATACATATGTTTATATAGTTAAATTTTTATATTTGAAATGTAATAAATAAGTAAAGTCGTGCATAGCTAACGGTTATATATATTTTTCAAGTTTGGTAAGTTTTGAATTGTACAGAAATGAATTTTGAATTTCAACATGTACTGCTGTGTTCCACGCGAAACACCACTTATAAATTTTGCCTACTGGCACATATTATAAGCTCGTGTGGACCGAGCATAATAATTTGCATGAATTACTAAATTAATAGTTAAATTTAAAACTAATTAAATTAATATTAGATTTTTTACAATTTGTATCACATTACCTCTACCGTCAAGTAGGTAACATGGAACAATGAGCAAGGTAATATATACAAAATTAAAAACAAGAGTGGAGAAAATACCCATTGGTATTACACCAACGATACTAAAATATTGTCCATTACGTGATACTTGTGTCATTATCACTTTTACTATCATCACCATCACTTCCTAGGAGATATCGCGGCCATTGTCTCTTCAGTCGAACAGGAGGGTTCGAGGGGATTTCGGGATGCGAGGTTTCTGATGTACTGATTTACTGTAGTTGTGAGAGGTTTTGTGAAATTTCGTTAACGGGAACTGATTTCATCTTGAACGAAAGGATATAAATCTATCTGTAGTTAGATTCGATACGTAAAATGGAGCATCTAGTATTTTTCTTAGGATTGAGCAGTTTGAAGCGGCCGATATTGGAATGTTTGGCTGAACTCCAAACTTCCAGTCCGTAAGTTCATACCGGCTTAACTATGGTGTTGTAAAGCAGACTTTTATTTTTGAGAGGTAAATTAGAACGTTTGTCCAGAAGTCGTGCAAGAACTCTATATCGTGCCATACCCACCTGAGTTTCAGTCGTGTGTGAGGAGAAGGACGTTCGATGCACAGACCGAAGAACCGCACCTTGTCCGCAATTGAGAGGGGAATATTATTTAAAAAAATAGGTAGAGAGATCTTTTAACGGAAAGTGAAAATAATGTTGTCATTTGACTGTGTTAAAGTATGTTAATAATTTTACGCCTATATTCTAGTAGTTTGAGATGTTGGAGTTTTCGAGTGGATGGCAGGATCTGTTCACGGAGAGTGAAGGTAATGTGGGTGGATTTGTCAGTGATAAATTTTGTCCTTTTCTTTTTATACCAAGACTCTGGTGATATTAGGTTAAAGTAATAAAACATTTTGTCTAATTCAAAAATATGAAGTAACAACAGGAAGTCTATATTTTTTAATTAATTTACCTTCTCATTATTAATTATAATGGAAAATGGCAAAGCGGAGGTAAAATTCAAAAGGTGGGGTTGAGTTAGGGGAAGTTAGTGTCCGAGTGGATCGAAGTTACGATAGCTCAAGTGGTCGAGTAGCGGCGTATCTAGCCGAAGGTTGTGGATTCGAATCCCGCTCGTGACACTAACTTTTTTATCTCAACTGAAACCCTTAATTAATTGAAAAATATTAATTGGTCAAGCGGACCACGAAAACTAGTGAATTTAATAAGATAAAATGAAGTATATCTTCACTAAAGCTCTCCGTGGCCATTTCATTTGTCGCCGAGAATCAAATAGATTAGACGACGTTTGAAAAAATGGCAAAAAGGAGGGAAAATTCAAAAGGTTCACTAGTTTTCGTGGTCCGCTTGACCAATTAATATCTTTCAATTAATTAAGGTTTTTAGTTGAGATAAAAAATGGCAAAAATGGCAAAAGGGAAGGAAAATTCAAGTGGGGTTGAGATGGGAAGTTAGTGTCCGAGGGAATTAAGTCACGATAGTTCAAGTGGTAGAGTAGCGGCGTATTTAGCAGAAGGTCGTGGGTTCGAATCCCGCTCGTGACACTAATTTTGTGTCTCAACTAAAAACCTTAAATAATTGGTCAAGGGGACCACGAAAGCTATTGGAATTAATTATAATAATATTCGTTTTATGTACTTCACTACTATTTTATATTAAATAACATGACTATCATGAATAATCTATAAATTATTTACATAACAAAGATTGAAAGCGGTAATTATATTTCTTCTCCTTTTCTTCTTCTTATATGGTGATTATTGAAATGACAAGACTTTGCCACAGAGAGTATATTCAGAAATTCCGTATTGTCTTTTTGACTATTCTAACCTAAGGGAATGTGTGCCAAAAAAGCTTCCTTGGGAATCTTATTTGTAACGACTTTATCGCCAAGAGAGAAAAAAAATTGGCGTCCCCGCACAATAATGAAACAATCGAACCGGAATACGTTAACGTGAACCTTTGTAGTTTCCAGAACCGTTTTACTTCGAGGGTTGACCCCCTCGGGCCTTTTTCAGCCGATGCGAATACCCCATGGAAATAATTTAACCCGCCGGACAAAGAATTTCCAATCAATTAATGCGATAATGTTCCGTTCGGGATAAGTTATTTGAGGTGATCTCCGCTTCCACTTTTCGCTCCTAGCCTTTTAAAAGCGAAAGCTTTTTTCGTGAAATAACGGTTCCACCTTTGTGAAAGCATGATGTTTAATTTTAAATTAAATTACTTGGTAATCTATAATGACACTGAAGAAATATTACATCACAATCAGTATATATAATATGATATAATTAATAATTATTAACACTTTCTAGGATTTTTTTATAATAAATACCATAAAAATTCCCAAATTTACATAAAAAATTTGCCTTTCAAATCAAGCAACTTTTTTGGATTAATTGTTTACACAAATAATATTTTTTATCATTAATAAACAACATTACAGCAAAACCTTTGGCCAGAGGGCCCATTTCTCATAATCCAAAATAATCTTACAGGGTTAGAGCCAACAAGGTTATCAGTTAGCAGATAGATAATACTCACACTCAGAGAAAGAGAGAGAGAGAGAGAGAGTGAGAGGAGAGCGAGCAATTGTACCCGTTCAAAGCTGATCCCTTAGTTCTTAAAAAGTCGAAATAAAACCTTGTTTCCCTTCTTTACACGTGTAAATAAAAACATATCTCAATTCATTGAAATAGAAGAGTGAAACCAATAGTAAAACGATGCAAGTTTGGGTTAAAGCCATGGTCAATCATGATGAATCCTGATCTTTACCAATTAGTTCCTAGTATAAAAAATCAATAACTTCCATTTTCCGATTGATTCTAGCCTTTTAATTAAGAAAAAGCATACTCGTCCTAAGCCATATCTACCACCAGATATACAAGCTGATGGCTTATGGTTTGCTTTTAACATTTTTCGAAGAAATTAGTCTTGGCCCCCAATAAAACAAACAAAAAGCATAAATAAACCTTATGGCATCCCCTTCAAAATAATAATGATAATAATTAATCCCTTGAGAAAACCCCGTTAACTGTTCCTATGAGAACTCAACTCTTCTCTTATCTCTCCGCACAATACAACAAATGCCGTTAATCCTTTTCCAGTTATGAAAATTCACTCTCGTCTGCAACCAAAAGAAAAAAATACATAAATAAAAAAAAAATCAATTTAAAAAAAACTAAAAAAAAACTCTGTCCATACCCCGCATATGTTTACCTAATGAATTCAGAGTCAGAGATGACATAGAAAAGAAGAACTAAAAGAAAACATTTGCAACTCACTTTTACCGATTTTTACTCCACATTCTGATCAATATGATGCACCTCATGCACAAGATGTTATCTCTTGGTATAGCACTTCTTCATTTCCCTCTCAATTCTTTCCAACCTTCTGAAGTACCATACTACATAAATAAATATCTAGAAACTTTCCTTATAATGCTAGAATCATTAAAAATATAATATACATTGCCATCCATCGCACTAATAATTTTTCTCTATCATAAAGCTATTCTCAACGTTTCACCTCATTCCCAAAGTTCACTAACTTCCTAACCAGGTATCCTACAGAGCCATCAGCCTGCGATGTCCAAAATTTTTGAAATACTCTATTTAAAATCATTAATATGTATTCACATCATTCTTTCTCAACGAATTATTTTTCATCCCATCATTCCACTATCCAGCAAGATGCAGTCACAACGTTTCCTCAGGTTTAGAGAACAAAAAGTATTGATTGATGCATTCAAGGATGTTCCTGGGCTTTTCATGGCCAGGTTTTATTGCTACTCATTTTTATTTTAATCCTATTACTTCAGATTCACAACGATTACTCTGATGTTAGACTAATAGAACCTGACGTCATATAACGGACTTCCTTCAATAATGAAACGTGTTTCTTAATTTTCGGGCACTTGAGATGGTCAAAACCAAAACAAAAATGTCCATGCTTTGGAATAATTGATTGTTTCGATCATAAAATAGATGTGGCCCAGGCTTTTTTCCAACGAGGGTATTTCAACTACGAGGTTATCGGAACCCTCGGGGTGCCGGTGTTTTTGCGGCCAACGGCACCCCAAAATTTTACGCTTTAATATCTTCCTTTCTTCGTGACTTGGTAAACTCATTCTTTACACGTTATAAAGGTAATAAATATGGTTTGCGAAGAGATAAAAGTGGTATCATCTGATCAATCTGAAGTGCATGAAAAATCACGTTTTATATATTGGTTTGATGTAGAAAAACGTAAAATTATAGTTTTATATTTCTTGTTGTAACTTCTTCTATAATAGAACGAAGGTTGTTTTGTTTGGTAGGGTGATAGGGGTAGGTGATTTATCCTGTTTTTTATGCAACATATTTTATGCAAATTCTTAATTTAAAATGCATTTCAGGGCCCTGGCGGTCGTTCTTATCAGGTAGATATTTCTTTGGAATAAACGAAAATTATCGCAAATTCATATATGTGGATTTACTATTTATCTAGAATTATATATCAATTTGGATATCAAGCGGGTAATAATTTATAATTTATTATTTTTAGCAATATGTGGTGATTAGTGACCGTTAGTCGATCATTACTCAGAAATCGTGAGAAGCAGTCTGGTGTGATGTAGGATACAGAAAAACATTTTCTTTATCTTGCCAACGTTTCGATCTTTATTGAGATCATCTTCAGAGCCTTGGATTTACAAATATTGTTTAAATCTAACAAAAACATGTAGGATGTGGAAAAAAGTGAATTTATACAATGCAAATAAATTTTTATTTTTTTTATATTCAATTAAATTATATATACTCACTCAAAGTGTTTGTTTTCTGCGCAATTGTGCCATTATTGCGGGCCATGTTGAGAGTGCCAGTGAGATATTGCTGTTTTATGTTTATATACGTCGGATTTTGAAGGGGTGGGAAGGAAGTCGGAAATGGAAAAACATTTTAGTATGAGCAGTCGTCTTTTTTGAGGTGAAAAGAGCCGACGATGGGAAAAAACGTTGGTAATGGTTCGGCCAGATTATCCTTTCAGGATTATATAGACAGTGATAAATAGGAAAAAGAAAGCTAAATTTTTCAAAAATTAGACTATGTAGAAATGTTTAATGTGTGGAATATGATGAATGTGTGGAGATTAGTGACCGTTAATCGATAATTATTCAGAAATCGTGAGATGCGGTCAGGTGTGATGTAGGTTTTCACACAGAACAAAACAAACATAAACGTAACTTATGCATAAACGTAACGTATAAATACTTTGATTGAATATAAAAAATATATTTTGCATTGTATAAATTCACTTTTCTACATCCTAAATGTATTTGTTAAATGTAAACAATGTTTGTAAATCCCAGGCCCTGAAGATGACCTCAATAGAGATCGAAAGAATTAATTAAGGTTTTTAGTTGAGATGAAAAAAAGTTAATGGCACGAGAGGGATTCGAACCCACGTTCTCCTTATGAGTTGAGATGGGGAGTTGATGTCCGAGTGGATCGAGGTCACGATAGATCAGGTGGTAGAGCAGCGGCGTATCTAGCCGAAGATCGTGGGTTCGAATCCCTCTCGTGCCAATAACTTTTTTTCATCTCAACTAAAAACCTTAATTAATTGTAAAGTATTAATTGGTCAAGCGGACCACGAAATTAGTGAATTTAAGAGATCGAAACGTTGGCACGATAAAGAAAATGTTTATCTGAAACCTACATCACACCAGACCGCATCTCACGATTTCTGAATAATTAATTTATTAATGTTTTATATGTTATATTATATGTTTTGTGTGATGTGATGATATGTATATGTTACCGATATAGAATTTGATTAATGTTAATGGCGTAGCTGCGACTGAGTTTACACGTGTCTGTTCAATAATTGATGCTGGGTTTATCTCTTTTGATGTAAACCATTTCTAAAAAGTTACGTTTATGTTTGTTTTGTTCGGTGTGTAATATTTTTGGATTGTTGAAATCGAAATTGTGTTTTTTTTTTTCAAAATGGTGGGTAGCGAGTGCTGTATTTTGCTTGGGTTTTTGCAATCATAGATATGTTGCTTTACTCTCTTGTCCAGATATTGGGATGTAAGACCGATGTAAGTTGCCTGACGGTTTAAACAATTGATTTTGTAGATTACGTCAGATTTATTTGTTATTGGTGTGGGATCTTTAATTTTCATAACAATGATTCGACACTGCTGTATCAACGGATATTTTACATACAACAATCAATTTTACCCGATACCTGCAGACGTAATTATGACACAACTATAATCTCAGTCATACTACAACTTCCTTTCACATTACCCTCACTAAATACGTAGGTGATATAACTTTTTGAAATGCCTAAAACTATCAAACACATTTTTCACAGGTTTGTTTTTGTCTTTGGATTTTTGATTCAATTAGGACTGACATTGAGATAACGAATGCTAGGGGGTGTTGCCTGCTTTTGGAAGGGGGTAGATAACGAAGGCTTCTTAAATCATTTAAGGTGACGTCCAATATATGAAGAGCTTTCTCATGGCTGACAGGCCCATTTGACACAAGCGAAACAACCCTCCAATTTATTTCAATGCGTTGCGGACAATTTGTATCAATAAACGCCCGACGGGATATTTAAGGCTGTATTAATTATGTTGACTACCAATCGGCCGTAAGGAATTGTTGCGTATCGATTTTTCCCGATCAGTGTATCCTGCATTATAAATGATGTGTTAACATTAATTTTTTTTATTAATCATGGAAGGAAGAGAAATCAGAAATTCCAGGAGAGACGATGGGAATCGAACCCACAACCTCCTATGAGCCAAAAGTCTGACGCGTTTCCTACAAGGTTTTTATAATTCACACTAATCAAATTCTTTACGAAACATATTGCAATTAAAGTAGAATTGTTGCGTTAAAAAAAGGTCGAGTATGTAAATAATAGATCAAAATTTCAATGTGTATTACGAGTGTAACAGTGTAGAAAAAATGTATTTTACTTAAAGTAATTTTGGGAAGTTTAATTGAACATCCAAAAATTTCACGAATTAATACGTGTAAATATCACACTTTCTCACTTCTGTAAAATTAGCATAATTTTCAAGTTATAAAATTGCCAATTAAAAACTTTCTACCGAAGTGAATAAAACGTTTTGCAACTTTGCCCATTGACATGTTTTATAAATCATTTTTCATTTTTTCCTTCTTTTTTCATCGCCTCCTAGTATGAAGCAAACGGATACGTAAATTATATTTTGCTCATATAAAAGTATTTTATAGAATAACTGTATGACCAAAGAAGCAACGAAATCTCAAGTGGCATGCAAAAATTACCTAAATATCCTAAAAAAACAGGATTTTTATACACTAAAGTGTATTAATTTTGTGATGCTTGTTGAAGTTTGAGCTTATTTAAGTGCTTATTTTCATATACATGTGTACCAAATAAGTACAAGGGAAAATTGCTAAAGCCTATATTTATCTTGTTGACAAAAGATTTTAAACACATTAACTTAAATTATCACTTAGCTTAAATAAACAATGCAGATTTTTTAAATACCCCTTTTTGATGGGTTTTGGCACCTATGCATCCTTTATAATCTTAAACGCTTTCTATCATCTACAGTGCTTAATACTGGAACGTTACTTAAAAATTAACGCTGCTTCAGAATATTATAATTAACTGAATATCAGAATAAAACAAGCTGGCATCCAACAAGGTCTTCTTGGTCCCATCCTTTGAATAATTTATGCTGTTGAATTTTTTTTTAGATCCCAACACGATCAATTCTTGACAATCTTCCAACGCGCATTCTTTCCAAGCAACAACTTCCATGGGGAATCTATCAGTGAATGGAGAAAATGTGTCCAATGCACGACCCGGAGCTTCCAATTAGGTCACTCAAGTTTTCCTAATACTTAACACTATGTCTACAGTGACCTTGATTCCTCTACAAGATTGATCTTTCTAACCACCCTTCACCGGTGATCAGAGCAATAGAGTCATGGGAGATGGATTGTCAAGCATTTTATATCCTTTGCCGCAGTTCTTCAACTGAGGTTGCTGGATAAAGATTGGCGTAGACACTGTTTGTTAAATGGTCGCACAGAAAATAGTCAAGTGAGTTAAATTGGGTGACCAAGACGACCTAGAAGAGCAATAGATCGGGCCATGAGGTCCTAACCACCAATCCCGGAAATGACGATTCAAATAACGTGAAACAACATCTGCAAAGACCTGTTTGTGGGGCATCCTTCAAGCTGGAGAATTATTCTTTGTAGTTAGTTGCTGCAGAGGAACGTCATCTAATAGTGTTGGTTAAACCTCCCTCAAAAAATTAGGGAACTGAGTAGGAATTAAATTGTTTTCGTCGAAGTAAACTGTGAACCACCTGATGATAACAAGAGTACGAAATTCTTGGATTTTCCTCTGCCAACGTTCGAAAATCGCAATGGTTTAGGATGCCATTAGAGTTGAGCCATGTATCTCTAATTTTATTTTTCGAAAAATCAAAATTCCTTCCAACCTTTCGGATTTTGGCGAAAATACAGTAAAATGCATTATATTTGGTGGTCCGATTGACCAAATAACTTGTTTCATTTAATTAATCTTTATGTAAGGTGTTGGTTGAAATGAAAAAGTTAATGTCACGAGCGGGATTCGAACCCACGACCTTCGGCTCAATACGCCGCTGCTCTAACCTTGAGCAATCCTGACATCGAGTTAGATCAGCGGCGTATTGAGCCGAAGGTCGTGGGTTCGAATCCCGCCCGTGTCACTAATGTTTTAATTTCAACCAACACCTTACATAAAGATACAGTAAAATATTCAACCCCTCATCGAAATTACGCTGCCGGTTTCTTTTTGTCGTAACTTCGTCATTTGTGACCAATTTAAAATCCGAATGCACCATTGTTTTCAGCTTAAACAACCCTTTAAAATGAGGTACCTGTACAATTTTTCTCGAAAAAAAGGTAAAAAATCGAACCTAAACTAAAAAATATTAAACACGTATTTTTTATTATAGCGTTATTGGTTCAAGGGTAATTCTGCCGGATCATCAAAAAACGGCACGCTGAATATATTTAAAAATCCCTGAGGTACACAATCAGCGATCCGTGCACCGAGTAGGTCAGTCTTTTCCCTTTTCGACCAGTTTTCCATGGACTATATACCGCTATCTTTCTTAACCGGCCATAGTTTGGTAGAATTATTTCTGTTTTTCCAAGCCCAGCGGTTTTTTTCATTCTTACCCATTCAGTGCATAAACATTCATCACCAGAAACCGAAGCCTGGGCACATTCATTTTCTCAGAGTACCCGATATCCCTCGAGGCGGGATCCAACCCACTCCATTCTCGCTAGTAATTTACTTTTCCTCTCCAGACATCTCATTCACGTCTCAATATCCTGATATTGATAGAATGCGTGTTTTATTATGAATTTAAAAAATTGGCATACTTATTTTATATAGGCTAGTTTTTCATTAATTGATAACCATTAACTTACACATGACGTCCATTCGCGATTCTTTCTGAGCAGAGGCAAAGGAGGGCGCTTCGGCGGACACCTCGCATTTGTAGACACCGCTCGATTTTAAATTGACAGACCTCAATGCGACTCGAGTATTGTCAGACAACTGGTGCTGAAAAAAACAAACAAAATAGTTTTAATCATAAAAACTCGTTTAAATGAATTACATCATGACGAAATACTTATGTTATGAAATCGTGGAAAAAGTTAAATATTACATTGCCATATTTCGCTATCGCATTTTTAATTTGATCTCACAATATATAATAAATTAAAAACGAATACTTTAAAAAGTAGGGATGACCATCACTTCATTATTTTCATTGAGATTTAAAAAAAATTTAATATTCATCATTTTATACAATATAAAGATATGAAAGTTCCGGTTGTCAGACTGTCAAGTATTCCATGATGTAAGTGACACGGCCGGGGGCATTTCAGCAATTCAGCAAGTTATTTCTATAATTAACTATGTCGGTGGCGGCAAGCTGCCTGCTAACGGCCGTTTTCTGCGGTTTTCTTATTACACGGCCATGCCAACACCAGCTGCCGTATGGATCGTCCATATGGATGGTTATGGCAAGTTTCCTTCTTCCTTACCACCTCAGTAGGAGGAAAACGCCTTCGAATATTCTTAAAAAGAAATCATAACAGCAAAATATAATATTGTAAATTCGTGAAAAAATTCATATGACGGCGTAAATTTAATAAATTTATTTGATAATGTGACGCCAGATGTCATTTTATCAAGGTGAAATTTTCACTACATACATGAATAATTTTTTTTTAGAAAACTCTACCCTTGAAAAGTAACTGACATTAGAAAATTGACTTATGAACAAGCCGACGTAAAAAAGTAATGCATATATATTTTTAAATAAAAAAATAAGTACGAAAAAAATGCAAATAATTCTATGTCATTTAAACCAATTAGTGCTGATATGTCGCTTTTAATTTCAATTGAATGAATATTAGATTATTTGTTTTCAAAAATTCATGTTAAATCAAAACATGATATAAGTTTATGACTTTGATGATAAAACTTTAAAAATATTTCGAACAAGGAAACAAAATGACAGTAGTAAAATACATAGTTGCTTAAAAGTTGAAGCAACATAAATAATTATTAATGTTGTAAAATATTTATTATAAATAATTTTTTTTATTCAAATATATATCAGTTATATTATTATTCATATAAAAAGTAAGGTTTCGGAGCTATTTGGTAAATTTCGTTGAAACAAAGTATGACCTTTATGCAGATTTTACCTATTTCCATTAGTGAAGCGTTAGAAACACCGTTAAACAATAAAATAAAGAAATTATTTTGCTTATGTTAAAAACATAAATTGTGCCAGTAGTAGCACATTAATGTTACATTTATTAGGTTTCGTGGTCTGATTGACAAACTAAATTCTTTTCAATTAATTGAGGCTTTGGTTGAGATAAAAAATCAATGTCACGAGAGAGATTCGAACCCACGACCATCGGCTAAATAAGCCGCTACTCTACCACTTGAGCTATCTTGACTTCGATCCACTCGGACACTAACTTACCATCTCAATCCCATCTTTTGATTTCCCCTCCTTTTTGCCGTTTTTCAAATGTCGTGTAATCTATTTGATCCGTTCGTGACACTGGCTTTTTTATCTCAACCAAAGCCTTAAATAATTGAAAAGAATTTAGTTGGTCAATCGGACCAGGAAACCTAATAAATATAATAAGCAAAATGAAGTATACTTCACTAAAGCTCTCTGTGGCCAATTCATTTGTCTCCGAGAATCAAACAGATTACACGACATTTGATAAATGGCAAAAAAGAGGGAAAATTCAAAAAGGTTGGGTTGTGTCCGAGTGGATCGAAGTCACGATAACTCAAGTGGAAGAGCAGCGGCGTATTTAGCCGAAGGTCATGGGTTCGAATCCCGCTCGTGGCACTGACTTTTTTATCTCAACGAAAGCATTAATTCATTGAAATAAATTAATGTTACATACTATTTTGAATTTTTTCATTTTAAAAAAAGTTTGAATGTAGATGAAGTTATTGATTTCGTGTGGATTCCGCTGTTCCGATATTAGTAGATTTTTGTTGAGAAGGCGGATATAGTTTTTGGGTTGTAGTGATTTTATTTTAAATTTTATCACAAATTTTGCCATTTTTCATCCAAGCATGATTCAAAGATACCTTCGAAATATGTTGACGTTTCAAAGTGATATAAATTGTTGAATATTTGAATCTTTTATGCAATTAAATTATGTTTTTGTCTATCATTGATTATAAATATTTTTTACAGAAAAAAAAAAAAACAATTTAACAACAGTCTCTAGAATAAATGGTGACTAGTTAATTTTACTTGAAGTTAGTTCAAACGATAGATATTTTCAATCATTTCTTCATTCAAAATTACCTTTATTTTAGTACCAATTCTTTAGTGTGCAAACGATTTTTTATTCCTTGCAAATTAGAATGTTATTATTTCGGCGGAAATCAAATAAAACTGTCGAGAATATTCGCATAGATTTTATTTTATGACGCTTATTTTTATTTTAACGATGATATTTTTTCTCTTAATTTTTAATTACAATTGTACAAAATTTTATTTCTTTTTGTGTTTTTACTGATTTGTTTTTTTTTTTAATTCAGTTTTGAATTGTACAATAATCAGTCCGAGAATGACCAAAGTAGTTATTTAGGTGTTTACTTTTTTATGTTCATGTTCATGGTTTTTTTTTATTCATCGAGAAAATATAATTTTATATTAGTATTTCTTTGTATTTTCTCATGAATCGTTATGACTAGACAAATTATTGTCGTATTGAAGTAATACGTTTATGCTGAATTTAAATAATTTTAAATCCAGAATTATACATATATATANTTCAAATAAATTGTTATAAAATATTAATGACTGACGACCACTTTTTTAACCATTGTAAGTAGTGAAGAAACAATGATAACCATGTTGATATAAAAATGTTAAAAAAAATATTTGTTCTATGTACAGGCGTTAACTCACCTGAGAAATGATTCAAATAAATCCGAAACGTTGTGGATAAAAACTGGTTGTTGTTTTTTAAGATGATCTATTATCCCACCTTCAAAGGGGAAGAATCATAAGACTAATTCTTTAGTGTGCAAACGGTTTTTCATATAAAATATATAGTAGATTGTGCTGACAATGAGGTTTGCATTTACATTTCACACCTTAAAAATTTCCATTTATTTATGTCCAGAGGCATCTGCGGACCAACGCAGTCTCCGTGTATGGAAGCCACTTTACGATTCACCTATTTTCCGGCCGTTCTATTTTTCCAATCGATGTATTTTGTCCGGTTATGTCGAACAAAGTCAGCCAGAACTGGGAGACCAGGAATTGTTCGATGTTCAATAAACATTTATGTCTCTTATTGTAGTGCCCTTTACAGATTTATAATTAATTGTATATCAAATATATTGGAATGTGGCGCAGATACAATGCCTAGTACTTTTTCTATATTTGGTCTTTAAAAATTCTTAAATAAATCAAATAAGCATAGTGTAACGACTTGATCAATTTGTGGTTCTATTGAAAATCAACGTTGATCTCATCTGCCTGATGGTCATTCTACCATGATTTTCACGTAAACATTTACAAACAAATCAAAAGGGTGATTAATAATGCTACAAAAATCAAACAGTCTCATTTAAGTTATAATCCTTTTTAAAACGAATATTGTTTTTTAATTATGCATATGAGTGAATCGCATCTGTTCAATCAACCATCGTGAATGATTATTAAAGGGGACATGGTTTATTTGTGTGTATGACCTTATTAGCAGTCGCGTTTATCCATTTATTTCTTCACTAAAGCTCTCCGTGGCCATTTCATTTGTCGTCGAGAATCCAATCCGATTATACGACATTTGAAAAATGGCAAAAAGGAGGGAAAATTCAAAAGGTGCGGTTGAGATGGGAAGTTGGTGTCCGAGTGGATCGAGGTCACGATAGCTCAAGTGGTAGAGCAGCGGCGAATCAAGCCGAAGATCGTGGGTTCGAATCCCGCGCGTGCCATTGACTTTTTTATTTCAACTAAAAACCTTAATTAATTATAATATATTAATTGGTAAAGCGGACCACGAAATTAGTGAATTTGATATTTATTTTGTTATTCTAAAGAACCAATAAATTTTTTTCTCCTTTGACAGGCTTGGTTTTGAAACTTTTGGAAAATGCAAATTTTAAAAAGGACCCATTCAGGTTGACACTTAAACCGACAAGAACTCCCAAACCGTTCGGCTGGGAACGGGACCTGTGTCGCTCCGGTGATTGAAATGTTTTTTCCCTCGACTTTAATGAACTTCTTTATGAATCCGCGCCCGCCAAATTTGGTTCCGTGTGAAATAGCTCTCTAGTACGGCTGTTGTTGAATAATGTATGTTTCTCCTGTTTTAATTAAAGCAAATTGGTGGTTTAACGGAGTGCAAACTACCTTTTTCCATATAGACATTAATACGTATTGACATTTTGTAAAAGCAACACACGGCAGTGAATAATGTTTTTGATGGAGCCAATTTAGGAAATTTGTGATTGTGATTCATAAAAGAACAACCTGTTTATTCATTTCATTTTCGCTAACTAGAGAACTCATATGATGGTAAGACCCACCTTAAATGCCTGTTTTTTTTCTAGTGGCCTTATGTCCATATTAGCCAGAGATGTAAAATCATTTTTTTTTGGGGGGGGGAAGGAGAGCGTAAAGAAATCCCAAGTGCGACAATGAGAATCGAACCCACGACCGCCGGTATACGAGATAAGAGCCTGACCTTTCGGCTACCGCGTTCTTAAAATTACAAAATACCAAACCCACGTCTGAATTTGAATTATGGTAGCCATACGACAAAACCGAAAATTTCTATAAAATTGGAAAAGTGGAATTATTGCACTAGAATTGTTGAACCCGGGTTCGAATCCATCTGCCCTGCATTCGAACCCTACATACGAACCAATGGCATTTTTTAAACATTGTCAAAAAAAGTCAAATGGTTGTAGTTGTATCAAACACATAGGAACATAGGTCTGAAGGAATCAGCCTTTTTACGACTTTGAGCACCGCGACAAATATTCGCCTGTTG